ACATCCACACCGGGGCCCAGCAGGTGCCTCCCACACATCCACACCGGGGCCCAGCAGGTGCCTCCCACACATCCACACCGGGGCCCAGCAGGTGCCTCCCACACATCCACACCGGGGCCCAGCAGCCCTGATGGCCCCTCGCCGACTCTTGAGCAAACCATCCTCTCTTCCCCCTGCAGCTCTGCCTGCACCTGACTTTCATCTGCAGAAACCCTGTGCCTCTGCCCCTCACTGAGCCATCCCTGAGCATCGAGGCTTCCTCCTCTCTCCCGCATGAAAGCCAATGGCCCACCTTGCTTTGTTTTCTCTGCCCGCACCTTCCTCACTGGGTCCCAGGCTGCTCGAGGCACAGGCGATGGTCCCTGGGCTCTTAATTTCTTTACCCACCCACCACTCACCCAGTCTGCATGAAGCACCCACCATGTGCCAAGCACTGTTCTCGGTTCTGGGGACACTAAGTGGACAGAACCTGCCCTCGGACAGCATGCATTTGAGTCCAGGAAGATAATACATAAAATAAATAAATATTTACATTTTCTCCCTCCCCTCCTTTCCCCCCACCTTTCCTCCCCCTCCCATTACATTTAACAGTGCTAATGGTGATGAGCAGAATCACAATGCCATGTAAGGGGGTGGAGTGATGGGGTGGATTTTTTTTTTAAAGATTTATTTGTTGACTTGAAAGGCAGAGTGACAGAGTCAGAAGGAAAGAAACACACACACACAGAGGTGTTTCGTTTGCTGGTTCACTCCCAAAATAGTTGCAATGGCTGGGTCTGGCCCAGGCTGAAGCCAGGAGCCTAGAACTCCATCTGGGTCTCCCGCGTGAATGGCAGGAACCTGGCTCATCACCTGCTGCCTTCACAGGTGCATTAACAGGCAACTGGATGGGAAGCAGAGCAGATGCTGGCGTAGCAAGTGCCCGCTTAACCTGTTGTACTACAACACTGCCCCCTAGGGGTGGGATTTTATGCAGCATCAGGGAAGGTCTCCCTGATCAGGTGAGATTTAAGCAGAGACCTTAATGAGGGGGCCAGGGTGAGCCACGCAGATGTCTTGGGAAGGAACAGTCCAGGTAGAGGGAGCAGTGAGGGCAAAGGCTCGGAAGCATAGGGAGGATAAACCAGGGATTTGCAATCAAAAGATACATTTTATGGGAAGCCCTGAGTTAAGCATTTGCCTTCTATACTTGTTCCCTCTTGGAGAAATGAAAACAGTGGCTTCTTAGGAAGATTCAGTCAAGTATGGCTGTGATACATGGCAGTCCCTGTCTGTCCCCTCCCTCTCGCCCTCCATTCCTCCTCAAGGCCTCCCCTTGATGCTGGCTGCGGTAGCTGGCGTGCGGCAGGTGCTCACCCACTCGCTGAGATAAATTGCAAAGAAGCACGTAGCTGGCAGTGCTTCCCTCTTGTAAAAGGTGTTTTTCCTTTGCCATCTACATTCCCAATTATGTCCACAAAGTCGTTCCAGCCCTGCCCCCTCTCCTCCAACCTGTCACTTTGGGCTTCAAGGCATTGACAGAGGCAGGAGGGGCGCAGACAGGATCCTTTGCATGTGGGTCTGGCGATTCTCCTCGGGTCTCAAACTCACAGCTCCAGGAGATGGCCCTTTGGTTCCCACTGTCCTCAGCAGCAGCTTCCTGCTGAAACCCAGCAGAGCGGGGCTGGGGCTGTTCGAGGGCAGTAGAGGAGCTCCGTAGCAGTACTGGCACAGACAGTGTGATGTGCACCGCGGTTCCTCTCTCTGATCCACCAACACTGCCTAGCGGTTCCTCTTTGGAAACCAGCCTCCTCTGACCCTTCTTTTGCTGCATAAGCCGTGCATGCCCGGTTCCAAAGTCAGAGCAGTAGACTCAGATACGCGTTGAGGAATCTTCATCCGCTTTCATCCTTGTCTGTCTGCTCATCCCCTGAAGGTGTTGCACCTGTTACTTCCTGTTCCTTCAAGAGTCTCTTAATATAGAGCAAAAATGTGAATGTACACGCACTGTTATCATAGTTTTTTTTTAAGATTTATTTACTTGAAAGTCATAGTTACAGGAAGAAAGGGAGAGAGATCTTCTATCCACTGGTTCACGCTGCAGATGACCACAACAGCTAGGGCTGGGCCAGGCCGAAGTCAGGAGCCAGGCTCTTCTTCCAGGTCTCCCATGTGGGTGCAGGGGACCAGATTCTTGGGCCATCTTCCACTGCTTTCCCCAGGCCATTAGCAGGGAGCTGGGTCAGAAGTGGAGCAGCTAGGACTTGGATGCAGGTGTTGCAGGTAGTGTCTTGAGCGGCTGTGCCACAGCATTGGCCCTTGCCCCTTTTCTTAACATGTACTAAATATAGATATGGGAGCATGTGTGTGTACATGTTTACCTTGTTTTTTTTCCCCCAGCAGGGTATCTCAGATAGTATCACATGTCCAAGTATGAAGAGCATTCTCAAGCACTGTTACAGGAATGTGGGATCCATGGGAAGACCCACTGAGCTATTCCTTCCGTTGGGGATTGGCACCCCACAGCCTGGAATGAGTGACACTTTGCCCACTTCTGCACTTACCACACTAATTCCCATGTCTCCCCCACCCCCCCAAAGCTGCTGCTTGTTTTAGTTCTGTTTCTAGCCGTAGCACTCCAGCAAATGCCAGGACCATAACACGAAGCAAACTCAAACACAATGTCTGCCTTCACAGTGGGACTTCTAACATGGGGAAAAGCAAGCATTGTTTTTAGAACTCCCACCAATAAATGCAAACTTACGATTGTGATAGATCTGTAAAGTGAAGTGCAAGGAGTTGCAATGGCACAGAATGGGGATGACGTTTTTGGGTCTGGTGTGAGACATCCTGAAAGGCTCCCTCATGACACTGATGTTTGGACTGAGGTCACAATGATGAGGTTGCCAGAGGTGGAGAGGGGGATAGCATGGACCAAAGGGATAGCACTGCAAAGGCCCTGAGGTTGAAGGGAGTGGTGTGCATTTAGGGAAGGAGGAGGAAGCCGAGGGCTGAGCAGAGAGCATGGTTCCTGGGGAAGTCGTAGAAGTTGGCAGAGACACAACTGTCCATGACAGGGGCACATGTTAGAGACTTTAGCCTTCATCCAGCGGCGGTGGGAGACCCCATGGAAGCAACGTGGTCTGGTTGACATTTTAAAATAGCCACACTGGCCAGGAGGTAGGAAAGAGGCTACAGGGGGTCAGAGCCGAGAGCTGGGGGTAGGGTGTCAGTGATGGTGATGGACAGGAATGGACGGCCTGAGAAACATGAACAGAGCCAGGATGATAGACTGATGGGGAGCTGGTCTCGTGAGTTGTCATGGGTGACGTCGGAAACACCTGCCAGAGAAGTGGCTGGGCCTTGGGTCCTTCACGGGATCCACAGAGAGGTCCTATTGGGAGGCAGTGATCCTTAGTTCAGTTTTTGGGATGTTGAGTTTGAGGTCCTTTGGCCAAACTCAGGAGGAATGTCTGAGATTAGATATGCAGCCTGGAGCTTAGAGGAAGGTGCTGAGCAGAGATGGGTGAGAAAGGAGGTGTTAGGAGAGGAAAGAGAATGAGTCCCAGAGAGGGGCTCAGGTGAGCCTTGGGTGTGACCTCTGAGCCCTGGAGGGGTTGAGGAGGAGGAGTCAGCAGTAGGCATGGGGTGGGGACACCGAGGGAAAAGGGAGACGGCAAGGGCGCTGGTGGGTTGAAGAGGCCGTGGGCACGGCCGCTCGTCTTTCCTGTGGCCCGCCCCTCTTGGCATCACTCCACTGGAATCTGCAGGGGGAGGCCTTCTTTTAACTGCCAGTCATTGCTGGTCTCCTTCAGCTCTGCTGTCACAGGCGGGTGCTGTTGTCCTGAGGTGTCACACGCACGGTCGTCAGTCTGGGAAGCCTACGTGTGGCCTATTCAGACATCTAGCAGTGGGTCAGTGTCCTCTACCTTAATGAGATAGCAAACAACCATGTGGAGCCAGGATTACAAAATATATGCCATTATTTTCATATCTGTTCCCCTGTGACTGCCCTTCAATTAAATTTTTTTCTTTCAAATATTTTTAGACCTGAGAATAAATCATAAGTTTTTGCTTATTACATTTTCTAGGAAGACTGGGTGTGATTTTGTTTGGACTTTTTTTGTGGCTTTATCCCATCTGAAATTAATTCTTCTCAAGATTCCCAAGATAACATCACCTTGATTGTTGGCTGCCTCTGATCTCTCCAAAATAAAATGCTAAGGTGTCAGCCTATGGTAGCTTTCCCCCTGGGAGAAGTAACTAATTTAGCTGAGCAGCAGAAAAAAAAAATCACAAATAATGATTCACTAAATCAGGTGCCTACAAAAGCTTGCCGGATTTTATGCCCCAGGCTGGAGGGACGGGTGTATTGTTAAAGCAGGGTAAGTGAGTGGCTGTTAGGATTTCAGATGTGACGGGGATAGGAAGGAGTCAAATGGATGGGCATCCACAGAGATAGAGCAAAAACGGGAGGGAAGAGGAGAGCCCAGAAAGCGCCTTGGTGTTTCACTCACTCATGGCACAGTCCCCCGTCTGTCTACAAGTGGAATGGTTCAGAGGGAGACTCAAGTGGCAGTGCCAGCTTCCCCCTGGTGTGCACAGAGCCCTCAGCGCCTAAACTCGAGAATCCTATTTACCCTGTCTTACTAGTCGGAGGCTTACCCTTGGAATTTCATTTTTCAAAAAGTCAGAAGAAGTTGAATAGCATCTAGTCTCCCTCGAAAGCCACCAAATGAACAATGCCAGTAACAATTATGAAACTCAATTGGCCTTATAAGGAGAAAAGAGAAATCAATTTTGCCAGTTTACATTCATGGCAACTAATTTCCATATAAATGATCTGACTTTATCCAGTCTAATAAAAAAGGTGCCCTATCCCCTTTGGTTTTTCTTTATTTTTTATGTTTTGTAGTTGCTGTTCTTGAGATGTGCTTGGGTGGATGGAGGTGAAGGCGTGTTGGGCATTGGTGTGCGTTGCTGTTTCCTAAAGGGATTGCTTGTTTTTGCTTTATTGGCAGTGTATCAGCTACAGCAAGAGGCGCCTCGTCCCAAGAGGATCGTCTGTTCCCGGGAGGTCAGTACCCAGCTCCTTCCCATAGCTCTGGTGAATTGTCAGCACTGTGTTGATACTGGAGGCGGTGCGGTTTTCACGGGAGCTCATTCCTGCTCATGTTTGTCAGAACATCGCCAAGTTTAACATCTGCACGTTCTGTATTTTGAAGCCAGACGTTATTTTAAAAACACTTGAAAGCTAACTTGGAATCCGAATTCTCCTGTCTTGCACCATTGCAGAGACAGGGGCCATCTTTGCGCTTCGTGTTTAAGTAACCAAACCAAACCTTATAGGAAAAGTCGCTGTGTTTTCATTCTTGGCAACAGCTTAGAAAACGCATCCCCCATGCAAGGGCTCCCCAGCCCTCCAAGCTTCCTGGTCCTCCTGCACTCAGATTTCTTGTTCCTCTGGGTGCCACTTTAGTCAGCCAATTTCTTTTTGAAAAATGTTTGTTTTTTTGCAAGTCAGAGTTACAGGGGAAGGAGGCAGGGAGGGGGAGGGAGGGAGGGAGAGAAAGCGCAAGTGAGCGAGCGATCCAGATCCAGATCCTCCATCCACTGGCCTGCCCCTCAAATGGTGCAATGGCTGGGGCTGGGCCAGGCCGGAGCCAGGAGCTAGGATCATCCTCCCGGTCTCCCACATGGGCACAGGGGCCCAAGCACTGAAGGGCCATCCTCTGCTGATTTCCCAAGCACATCAGCAGGGAACAGGATCAAAAATGGAGCAGCTAGGACTCGAACCGGCACCCCTATGGGATGCCTGCATTGCAAGTGGTGGCTTAACCCGCTATGCCACAGCACTGGCCCCCAGACGATTGCTTTAATGAACAAAATAACATCCTTCCAACCATGGGTCCTTACTTATTTTTGTTATTATTCCTTTGATAAAGTGTAAAGTAGCAGGCAGCTTTGAAAGCACCCTGTGTGCCTTGCTGGGGCAGGGGCTCCAATTCCAACACCCTTGAGATTCAGCCTTGAGCACCAGTGCTTTCGGGTTCTGAGCCTGTTTCAAAGGCCTCAGCCCATCCATGTCCTTATCCAGAGTCAGCTTACGTGGCTTACTGAGTTTTTCTACAGAAAATGTTGCTTTCGAAGGGGATTAAATTTCTTCAAGTAATCTGGATTTGAATAGAGAAGACATTTCATCCCAGGAAAATAACTGGGGAAAAACAACAACAACAAAAAAGCCGAGGCGTGTGAAAAAGCCCAGGATGAGTTCCAGTTTATTTGGTAGTCGGATCTTGTCCCGTCACTGCCTCTGCCTTCTGTTGTGCTTTGGATTTCTAGCCGCGTCGAAACAAGAGAAAAATAGGACAAGCATAAATGTTTTAATGAGCTGTGCTCAATAAGGGTGTTCTCAGAGAGAATTAAGAAACGAGTTGCTAAAAATTCCTTCCCTACTGCTTTTCATGTAGTATTTCTCCCAGAAAAGCTATCACCACGTGTGTAGGGAGATCGAGGGGCTTCGGTGTATGGATGAAAAGAACGTTCAGAATTAGCAAGTGGCCAAGGACTCCACTTGGAGGTGTCCACACAAAGCTACCAGGCACGGTCTGGCACCCACACTTGAAACTCAAGGGCAGGGTAGTCATTCATTCGTTCCTGTGTTGAGTGTATGTGTATGGAAAGCCGCTTTCAGCTATTGGCATGTTGAATGTCATTAAAAAAAGAGAACAAAATTAGGATGTGATTAAATATGTATGTCTAAAACCTTGCCTGTGTGTGAGAGAGAGGGGGGAAGTGGGGTTGTGGAGGGGAGTAGGCTGGCTGACTTTGTGGGATGTCTGCAGTGGAGAGAGGTGCATTCGGATTATTTTCTTAAAGACCCCTCCCCGGTTGACGGAGAGGCATCGGCTGTGTGCACTGCCCAGCCAGCTAATGTTCCACAGCTCTCACCCTCCACCATCCCTGAAGGATAGGATGCATGCACAGCCTTCCTTCCCCTCTTGTCTGTCTGCTGAGCTTGGCTGCCTACTTGTGCCCTTTGGCCAGCTTGATTTGTGGGTAAGCCCTGCCTGATCAGCGCTGGCCCCACAGGTCGCTCGCCTCTGGGGAATCCATATCCCCTTTCCGCTGTGAAACACGGGCCTTCCACAGCCCCCTTTCCCTAGCAGGCAGCAGGTGTCAGGTTCCAAAGGGCCAAGTTTGCTGGCTGCTGCGCAGATGCCACTCAGCTGAGAGCCATAGGGGGTGGCGTCCATTCCCCGGGTCCTCCAAGGTGAAGTTCATTGCAAAGAATTCCTGCCCCTTTCCGGACTTGGCCTCCTGCAGGGGCAGGCACTGTCCACTCTTGGATGCTCCTGCTGCCCGTGGTGCTTCACCAGATGCCTCTTTGTCCTGTCACACACCTGTCTGCTCTGGGTACCTGCCTGATCGAGACAGACAGCCCTTCCATTAGAGCGCGTGGCCTGACCGATTGAAGCTCTGGCAACACCTTTACATAAAGCCTATGTTACGATTTTTTTCTGTCTTAGCCAGGTCGGAAGAGCCCACACCTTCCTTTCCGATGCAGCTGTCTTGGGTTTGCACCAAACCCGGCCACCCCTTCCATGGTCCCTGGCTGGGTTGCTCCTCTGCCCTCCTTCTCCGGTATTTCTCTGATGATCAGTACCTTCTTTGGCGTGGGCCTGTGTCACGTCAGGCCCCTGGGCTCATGTGCTAAATGCACACATTGGTGCCCTGAGTGAAGCTTGCCATGACGGACACAAAGGGCCACCGTCACTCCAGGGCCACCTGGCTCGCTACGTAGCTTGCTGTCCACAGCTCCCAATCATGGATGGGACCTTTGCTGGAAATTTGATGAGCCAGGCATTCAGACCACACCGCAGGCACCATTCAACAAGCTCAGCAAAGCCAAGGAGGCACCTTGGACTTGAGACTTCCGGCTGTGCCTCTTTCCAGCTTCCTGGCTTGGAATCCGAGGGTGGAATCCACTTGGCAGGGTTGCTGTCATGGGCTGTGATTGTCCAGTGTCTAGGATGGCCCCTGGCGCATAGTAGGTGCTCGATAAGCAGTCACGATTCCTGGCTGGTGTGGCAGCCTGTGAGGAGCTGGCTGTGAGACAATCCCGAGGGACAGAGTCAGAGCAGGAGGAGGATTCTCCACATGGGAGTGCCAAATGGTGATGCCCAAGAACAAGGCAAGATGCTCGGGTCAGGAATTGACCTGGCACAAGGCACGATCCTGAGGACGAGGAACAGGAGGTCCCAGCGGCTGAGCAGCAGCTCTGGCGCCCGTTCAGCCGGGCAGGGGCAGCCGCTGAAGGAGCAGCTCATTGCCTTCTGGAGACTGAGCTCTCTGAATTAATACTACTGAGATGCCGCGGCACCTGGCACTTCACACGCCTTTCCTCAAGGCTCCTGGCCAGGAGACGCGAGACATCTCCCAGGTTGCAGACTCCGCCCTCGTCCTCTCAGTCAGTCCCTTCCGAAGAATTGATTCGTTACCAACCGTGAGACTGGGTGGGCTTCCCAGGACTGTGCTGAGCACTGACTCCAGCACGTGTTTCTCTGCTAAGACCTCCAGCCCGGGCTCCAGACTCCACTGTCCAGGTGTGTGCTGGGCCTCTCCCTAGCCATCGAAGCCTCGCGTTCTAAACAGAGCTGGGCTCCACTGTGAAATGGTGCCTAACCTCAGGAGCCCGTGGTTCTCCTCTTCACACTCTCACTCGCTTCCCTTCTGTTCTTAGCAGGCAGCAGGTTTCCCCCACATCCATCTTCTAACTTCCGGCATTACTGCATCTCCGTGACTACCGCAGGATCGGGCCATCACTGCTTCCTGCCTGGGTTAGGGCAGGTCAACAGGCTCCTGTCCTCTCCGGTCTCCCTGCTCCCACTCTTGGCACCCGGTTCACAGCCTGCGCGCGCGCGCACACACACACACACTCACTTCATTCTTCAGGCAGAATCCCGAATCATCGTTGTATATAAATTGGAGCCTTCAATATTCTTCCCATTACTCTTTTTTTTTTTTTTTTTTTTTGACAGGCAGAGTTAGATAGAGAGAGAAAGGTCTTCCTTCCATTGGTTCACCCCCCAAAATGGCCGCCGATCCAAAGCCAGAAGCCTGGCGCTTCCTCCTGGTCTCCCATGCAGGTGCAGGGCCCAAGCACTTGGGCCATCCTCCACTGCCCTCCCAGGCCGCAGCAGAGAGCTGGACTGGAAGAGGAGCAACCGGGACAGAATCCAGTGCCCTAAACGGGACTAGACCCGGGGTGCCAGCGCTGCAGGCAGAGGATTAGCCTAGTGAGCCTTGGCGCCGGCCTCTTCCCATTACTTTTAAAATCAAAGCAAATCTTGCTGTGTGTTTGCAGGATTGTCACTGCCCTGTCTGCAGCGTTCTCTCTAGATTGCCTTTCAGCCCCACTAGCTTCCATTTCCATCCGTCAAACAAACCACAGTGTTGCTACCGCAGGGCCTTTGCACTTGTCCTTTGCCTGGAAGTTTGGTTCCCAGGTTCCCTGCATATCCAGGTTTCATAGCATCTCTTACCTGATAAACAAGGCCTTCCTTAACCCCATAAAAATGAGCACCTGCCCCAATCCTCAGGTATTCTGTGTCCTGTCTCCTTGCAGTACTTAGTGTATCACTATTACACTTTCCAAATGTATCTATTTAATTGTTGCTGTGTATCTTTCTCTGGGGACTTCATCAGTCTTAATCATAGGTATCTCCCTAGCACTGAGCATAGCTAAGCAACAATGTGTAATCAGTAAATATCTAGCAAAGTGATGGAAAAAAGGATAGAGACCGCTAACGTAAGGGATTTTGAATCCTCAAACTATTACTAATAGCGTATCCGATTTTCTCAATGCTGTTATTAGGGTAGCGAGCTGGGCTTTTGGCAGTTGTTGGGGTATTTTACTTAAACACAGACTAGTATTTTTTTTTCCTGGAATGGTCCACATTTCTTTTTGGCTTTCCCCAAAGGCCAAAATTCCACTAGAATCGCCTAAAGGACACAGCAAACAAGCAGAAGATTTTTTTGTGACTGTAAATGATTTGGTGTCATTTATCTTTTTGGAAATTGCTGTAGTGAATATGGGATTTTAAAAAGCCATTTCAAAAAAAAAGGGAAATAAAATGGCAGGCTATTATTTCAAATCGTTCCCCATTTTACACAGTATCATTTCTCTTCTCCCTCACCTTGGAATAATCTATTTGGGAAAACCTTTTTGTTTTCCTAATGTAAAAGTGGATTTTAGAACCGAGACTCCTAGCACGGCTTATCAGAAGCAGCTTTTCTGCTGAGCCTCAGAGCTAAGGGGGAGCACAGGAGAGAGAGCCGAGCTGGCAGTGCGGGGAGGGCAGGGGGCACCCCTACTCCACCTGCTAGTGCATCCCTGGCATTTGTAGATCCCACTTGGAAGAATCCTGCCCTCCTTAGGAGCATTTTGCCGTTTTTGGCATTCCTCAGTCTCTACCGCTTGGCTGTTTCCTACATGGATCGGTGAAACCTGTTCTTTGAACTCTACAAAAGCCTTCCGTTTCTGC